CAGAGGCCATCTGTGCAGGGACAGTGAGCAGACTCAGCCGGTCAGCAGTGCTCGGGGCTCAGGCTCCCCAGGGAGGGGGAGTGAGGGGCAGGCACCAGTGAACCTGCACCGTGTACATTTCGGGGGGTGGGAGGGGGCGTCCATGCAGCGAGCCTGGCAAAAACCCAGCGGGTGGGCTGCCCTTGCGTCGCAAAACTACAGTCTCTCCAAAGAGATGAGCTTGTTCAAGCAGGAAGCGGGCGGGTGCGTGCTTGACCCACTTAGAGCAAAGCTGAGTTTAAACACATCTTTTTTAAAATAACGTTTTTCCTGGTTGTAAAATGAATGCACCCCGAGTGTAGAAATACTAGGAAACCCAGAAAAGGATAAAGAAGAAAATAAAAGCCGCTTGAGATCTCCCCGCCCAGAGATGACAGGGGACGACGTAAAGAAGAAACTGAAATCGCGATGTGCTGGTTCCACATCCATCTTCTGGGGATGCTGCTGTGTGTCCTGTGTGCTTCTAGAAATGCACATGGGAAGAAACAGCTTACATAAGTGGGACCAAACGTGCTACTTCCAAGCGTTCCCTCTTTATTGTCTGTGTGATGAGAATGTCTGGAACTGGACCTGGTATACAGCATCATTTTCATAGCTCCACAGTGAGGAATTGCTCCAATCATCAGAAACTAAGTTTGTAAAATGTATCTGTGTATTTGTTTAAAAGAGGAGAAAGTTTAGAAGATTATACACTTTTAGTGAGAAGGGGGACTTATTTTCTGCTTTGTACTTTTCTGTTGTTGGTGGTTGTTTTTTTTTTTCCAAATAATTACACTCCTCAAAATAACCAGAGCTAATACTGTGCTGTATTTTCTTTTTAAGATTTTATTTATTTTCAAGAGAGTGAGAGCACAAGCAGGGGGAGAGGGAGAAGCAGGCTCCCTGCTGAGCATAGGGCTTGATCCCAGGACCCTGGGATCATGACATCAAGACCTGAGCCGAAAGCAGATGCCTAACCGACTGACCCACCCAGGCGCCCCTTGTGCTGTATTTCTCAGCAACTTAAAAAAGTGTATTTTAAGACATCATTAGATCCATGCTGTGTATAGGGTTTTGCCTTCTGATTAAATCACCTGTCGGCGTCCAGTGGGCTTCTTGCCTGTATCACTGATGGCTAGTTGATAGTGTTCATATGAGGATGCTATGAGGTTTTCATGTTGTTTCCAACTTTTCACATAGTGAGGCTGTGATGAACAGCTGGGCCCCTGAGTTATTTTGTTTCCCAGTCTGAATACTACTACGGATGCATTCCTGGAAAGATGGTCACTGGGTCAGAAGGTGTAAAATTTTTAAGGCTCTGGTTGCAAGTAAATGAACAGATTGGTTTTAAGAATTTCTACTCCTTAAAAGTATCAAAACACTTTTGCTCATAATAAAATGGGTGCTATAGATAACTCTTACTGTCTTACTTAATTTAATTTAATTTTTTTAAAAGATTTTATTTATTTATTTGAGAGAGAGAGAAATCACAAGTAGGCAGAGAGGCAGGCAGAGAGAGGGGGAAGCAGGCTCCCCGCTGAGCAGAGATCCCGATTCGGGGGTGGGGGGGGATCTCAGGACCCTGAGGTCATGACCTGAGCCGAAGGCAGAGGCTTAACCCACTGAGCCACCCAGGGGCCCCTGTCTTATTTAATTTTAAAGCAGATCTTTTAGTTCTTTTCTTAGAAATATTTATGAAGACTTAATTACTAATAATATCTCTAAACATTAAAAACCATGCTTTTTTTTGTCAGAATTTTTTGGAATAATTTTTAAGGATAACCAATCATCTTAAAGAAATTTTAAAATAAAAAATCATCGGGATGCCTCTCTGCCTTCTTGTGATCTCTCTCTCTCTCTCTCTCTGTCAAATAAATAAAATCTTTTTAAAAAATAAGTAAAATATAAACATATAAAAAATTAAAAAATCATGGTAATAAGGCCTAATAAATAATAAATAAAGCTTAAATAAATCTCCTTCCCTCCCTTTTCTCTGAGTTTTATGTAGTTGGAATAAAAGTATATGTCGTTTTGTATATTTAGGTTTTTTAATTTAGCAGAGTGTTGCAAGCCTTTCTTCCCACACGCTCCTCATAACTATCATTTTTAATGACCGTGAATTATTCGGTTGACCTCACCTGCCACAACGTACTCAACGTTTCCCTGTTGAACATTTAAGTTATTCCCACATTTTTACTTTGGTAGCACTGTGGGGAATGTGGACTGTTTCCTTGGGTTTGAATTCCCCCCAAATGGATCGCCTGGGTCTGAATTTAAATTGTTCCTTCAGAATTTTCACACACGTTCCTACTGGCCTGTCTTCTAGCTTAGTCTTAATTCTTGAAGCTTTATTCCAACCACCTGGTGAAATGGAGCGTGTTCCCGTTGGCAGGGCACCCACTAGCTGCTGTGAAGTCCTCAGGAACCAAAGTGGTCACATTGGCAAAGTGACAGAGCCCTTTTCCCGCATGCCCCGTTGGAAAACTCAAGGGAGCGCACTGATCTGCCGGTCTCCGAAACCTCTCATTCCACATCCTTCGCAAACCAGAAAAGAAACTCCACAGCAGCAGGGACCCAATTGCTATGTCACCCCCTCCTTTCTTTTCTTTTCTTTTCTTTTTTTTTTTTCTTTTTTCCTTTTTCGAGAATATTCCCAGGCCAGGATGGGAAGGCATATCTGGTGTCTCCTTTCTGCTAAAGCAAACTCAAGCGACTTCATTTTCAGAAATGCAAAATTCGTGAAGTTCATAAATGCCTCTTTGTTGACCGTGAGCCGTGTGGTTTGGCTCTAGAGTTATCTCAGATAGCGCAAATAAATCTGGCGGCCTCCAGTTGTCTCAGACTGAGCTTACCTCCCTCCCCCGTTGTCCCCTCCTTGCAGAAATTTCCTCTTGGCCTTCAGCTGCACAAACTCCGTCTTCTCATCAATATGCCCTGTTAACTGATGCCAAACCTCCGGCAGTTGACTGCATATGTTCCCTTAATCATTTCTCTTTGTTCTAGAAGTCTGTGTTTGGTTTCTAAACTACCCCCCCACCCCCTCGCCTAATTCCACCATCACCATCCCTGGCTGTGCACACGACTGTCTACTGTCTATGTGTTTATTTAAAGAACATCCTAGATGGCCTGCCATTGAGAGCGCTTTTGCAATCTGCTCACCACGTGCTAAGTCATCCCCCACCCGCTCCCCTAGAAAAGTGCATGAGCTGCCACCCGCAGCCTTCGGAGCCCAGGTGAGGGAGGGGTTTGAGGAACTTTCTGGAAAGCATGAGGTTCCAAGAAGACAGTGTTACGTCCCCGCACGGACAAAGATTCCTTCTCTGTTTCCCGCTGGTCCAGCCCAAGAAAAGGACGCTTTATTCTTGGAGCCCAAGAGTGTACAAGAACGGCCGGTCTCAGTGGCTTATTCATGGGGTCCAAGAGAAATACTTCTGGAGCTGTGCTTCTTGCACGATGAAAGTGGGCTTGGCACGCGTACGGAGGGCGGCCTGCTCGCTGGGAATGCCCCTTGCCGGTGGCACCCGCCGCCCCCACCCGACGTGGCCCTGCTCCTCTTAGCAAGCGAGGGGGTCCTCTGGGCTCCCTGTGACAACGGTCTGCACACGCGGGTGCCGAGCTCTGCCGGCCGGCAGTGCTCAGGGAGGCACTGTGTTGTTGCTCCCTGCTTCTAAGTGTGTTTCTCCTCTTATCCCTTGTAGACCCCCCCAACCCCCTACCCTGAGCCCTGAGAGCAGCGGAAGAACCACCAGATCAGGGGTTCAGGGCCCTTTCTCCTCGGCTCGGGGAGTGCTGTAGAACCCTGGAAACTTATTGGAAGCTTCCTACAGATACCATCTCTCTGTCTCTCTCTCCTCCCTCCCCCGCCTCTTCCCTCCCCCAAAAGTATTTCAGAGAGTCCCAGCACCTGCACAGACAGTGAACCAACCTGATTTTTGCTCTGTTTCATAAATCCTACCATGAACCATGCCCGCTCAGGACCTGGTCAGCACCTTGTGGGAATGCACAGGAAAGCCTTCCTAACACAGAGTTAAAATATGTAGAAAGTAGCTGGGAGGAAATTCTCCGTGTGAGGGATTCCCCCTGCCCCCCACACTTTCCTTTTCTGGAAAAAAAAAAAAATGGTTAATGTTGACTCATTTGGTGGAGATATAAGGCACTTTCCTACCTATCCCCAAAGGGAAGTTTGCATTCTTTTAAATGAAACCATTTTAAAAGCAGAACTCCAGCCTGAAATGATCCAAGGTTCTCGGACTTCTCAGAAGGTGTAGATTTATTTACTATAGTTAAAACATAATTAGTTCTCAGGGGATAGTGTATCTTTTAAACGGCTTTATTGCCACCATATTGGCTTTCTGAATAATCAGAAACTTCTGTTATGATTATGTTCTAGTGTTCGGACAGAAACACACCGTAAGTAGAAACAAATGTCAGGAACTGCTAGTTGTCACTCGGAGAAGGGACACCACATCAGGGGGGAAAGAAAGAACGTCTCAATAGGATATTCCAAAGAAATAGAATCGAACAACATCCTTTTTTTTTTTTCCAGGATTTTATTTATTTATTTGACAGAGAGACACACGAGAGAGGGAACACAAGCGGGGGAGTGGGAGAGGGGGAAGCAGGCTTCCTGTTGAGCAGGGAACCCGATGTGGGGTTCGATCCCAGGACCCTGGGATCATGACCTGAGCCAAAGGCAGACACTTAAGGACTGAGCCACCCAGGTGCCCCCAAATCAAAAACATCTTAAATGAACTAACAGCTCAGGTGGGCACCCCCAACCCCACTCTTTTTTGTTTCAAGGGTGTTTTTTTAGTCTCTTCTCCTATGTTATCAGAGGCTGGGAATGGGGTCAGTAGCCCTTGAGACCTGGGAAATGGCCCTTTTTCTTCCCCACGCACCCCTGCAGATGAGTGCAAACAGGGTCCGTAAGCTCCGCGGTCGTGTCCCTGTTCTGGCTGACCAGTCTTTCCCACCGTTTGCAGGTTGATGTTTGAGATTCCGCAGGAAATGGGGTTAATAGCCATCGCAGTCCGCCAAACGCAGGGCAAAGGTCAGTCATCTTTTGTTATCGTTTCTGTCGCTCTGTTTTCTAAAATCTGCGACTCTCGTGGCCAGATTGCCGATTGGGAGGGTGTGCTGATCACGGAGAAGACTCAAGTCAGGAGTGCTTGTTTTCATACCCCTGAAAATGGAGGAAGAGGGAGGGAAACTGATCAAAAGGCTGAGTCTTGGTACAATTAAAGCTTTCTTTTGAACCGGGATGGTTATTAATCGCGGGACATTCGCTGGGGATGCTTTTAACATTCCGTCACCTACATCTTGTAAATTCTTTCAGACACATTGTAAGCATTGCAAGTGTGTGAATCGTTACTGTGTTACAGAGACATTTATTTGCCCGAAGGTTCTCTGGGAGATGCCTTCTGGGTCCCTGTTGAGTGTCCTGTGGAGAGCCCTTTCGTCTGCCAGCCCCCATCCCAGCCGCACGGGAAAGTCCATGACCAGTGGTCAGTGCCCCTTCACTAAGTGACCGCAGAGAAGCCAACAGCTGCCCCCAGCTTCCGCCACCTGCTGACCCTCGGAAACGAGAGCCCACATCCTCCCAGAATCCACCCAGGGTCCAACCGCAAGCAGATTCCGTGCTCGGGGGTCCTCCCGGAGGCACTTGGCCCCCCTACCCCCGCCCCCGGGGTGCCAGGCCAACCCAAACGCTCTTATGCCTTTCTCAGAAGGAGGAACGAAATAAGAAATTCACTGTTTTCCACTTCTTTCCTTTGAACACATCTTTTGAACATAACTCAAAGAGAAAATTCATTTTATCCAAAGCTGGGGTGGGGTAGGGGGGCTCAATATGGTGGTTAAAAAAAAGAATGTAGAAGAACTTCCTCTCGTTTTGAGCATTTTCTTTTCTTCTATTTTAGGAAAAATAATTCTGAGAGTTAATATCAGAGATTACTTTCTAAAGTCTGCTTCCTTTCTTCCTCCCCATATAACAGTGAGATATAACTCACAGACCATACAGTTCCCCCAATTCAAGTATACAATTCTGAGGTCTTTAATATTTTCATAGGGTTGTGGGACCATCACCACAATATGGGTCACTTCTAAACTGTGGTGTCAGGACCTCTCCTGGACCAGGACAGACCCGGCCCAGTTTCCCCACTGTCTCTGTTTTTGCCGGCATTACCAGATGGTGACAATTAAGCTGACAGTCATGTTTAGACCCTGTAGGACTTTGAATCATCAAAGCGTAAATGATCTGCTTACGGAGGCAGAACACTCCACGACTTACCAGAAACCGTTCAGCAACACAGCACCAGACTTTAAAACGCTTCTCTGTTCTTGAGTCAGCCCCAGAACCTCCAAGCATCTTCATCAGTGCGGGCCGATCACACGTGGGGCTCTGAGTCTGGGGCCCGTTTTCGGGCGCCGTGCATGTGACTGTCCACGAGGCAAGGTGGCCGCTTTCCTGATGGGGACCTCTGTTTTCCAGGGCGGGGAGCGAACGCTTGGCTGAGCCCCTTGGGGTGCGCCCTGTCTACCCTGCTCATCTCCATCCCGCTGAGATCCCAGCTGGGACAGAGGATCCCATTCGTCCAGCATCTGATGTCCCTGGCCGTGGTGGAGGCAGTGAGGTCCATCCCTGAGTACCAGGTACGTGAGATCCGCCCACCCTGCAAACCCACCCTGCGTGCAGATCTCAGTTGGGGTTGGTGTGTGGATGGTGCGTGTAGAGTTGCAGGCTGCTCTTGGCCAAGCTGGCAGCAGAGTGCTCGCTCCTGGAGTTTTAAAAGCATCGTCAGCTCTTAGAGTGGCACCGGGATGGGTTTATTTCCCAGAATTCCCTTTCTGTGCTATTGTCAGGTTGCTCGAGCATCTTAGGGCAAGCCCCTTTTTTTCACCCTCCTTTAACTGAAGCACATCAGACTGACATCCACACTGTCGTGTCTCCTGGTGAAAAAGCTTATTGTATGGAGCTAAACAGCCTTCTCACTCCCTATCTTCATTTAGCACCGTCTGTGCTCAGCAGAACAGCTCTGGTCTGTGGCTGCCCAGGTTCAACATGTGGGTTCATTTGGGGTGTCTGCTCCCCACCGTAGGGACAGAGGTGCCTGCTTCATCATTACCATCGATGCTTCTGTATCAGTTAGTAAGGAGACAAGGAAGAGGGTGATTAATGCAGTTTTCTTAGACGAATTTCATGTGAATATCAAAAGGAGGTTCCTCCCCAGCCTCCCTCCCACCTACATTTCTTGCATCAAACTGAACACAATTATAGTATTAATTCCTGAAGCGAGAAGCTAAGATCATGACTTTCAAAGGGGCCTGACCTCGTGTTTAAGCTGTCCTCCCATCCAATGTGGTCGTGGCCTCATGGTCACCGTGAGTAGGACTAGGGTGTGTGTTTCCCAGATCACGTCGAGTCCCTGGCACGCACGCTGGAATGTGACATTTATAACAGCGTTCAGCATGCTTGCGCTCTATATCCGGGGGGCCTGGGCTCCTCCGGCTCTCACACACCTTCTCAGGTCAGCCTCATAGAAGGTAGTTGAGAAGATAAAGTTCTGTCGTGGGGCACATATTTTTAATCCTAGCAGCAGGTTCATTAGTCTTAGGAAAATAATTTAAAATTTACATCGGGCTGCCTGGGTGGCTCAGTCGGTTGAACGTCTGCCTTAGGCTCAGGTCATGATCCCAGGGTCCTGGAATCGCGTCCCACATCAGACTCCCTGCTCAGCGGGGAGCCTGCTTCTCTGCCTGCCATTCCCCCTTCTTATGCTCGCTCACTCTCTCTGACCAGTAAATAAATAAAATTTTTTTAAAAAATTTAAAGTTTACATCAAGTGCCCTCCTTAATGCCCATCACCCAATTACCCCATCCCCCCATCCATTCCCCTCCAGCAACCCTCAAGTGCTGAGTGTTATATGCAACTGATGAATCACTAAATTCTACTCCTGAAGCTAAGAATATACTATATGTTAACTAAATTGAATTTAAATAGGTTTTTTAAAAAAGAACAATGCTAAGAAAAACATGCACAAAAATATTTATCAATTTCATGTATCATAAAGCATTATATTCTAAAAAAGGAAGAATATTAAGAAAAGCATGCAAAAAATAGCATTAATCATTTCATGTAAACTATTATAAAGCATTATTATCTTCTTAAAAAAAAATTGTGGGAGGGGGTGGGGGAAGAGGTAACTGGGTGATGGACATTAAAGAGGGCATGTGATGAAATGAGCACTGGGGGTTAAATAAGACTGATGAATCACTGAACTCTATCTCTGAAACTAATAATACACTCCATGTTAATTAATTGGATTTAAATTTTAAAAAGGAAATTTAAAAAATGGTAGGAAACAAGAAAAATATATAAATAAAATTTAAAATTTAAGTTAGTCTGTTTGGCTTTTCCTGGCTTTGATCGTGACCTTGTAGCCTCGCATGTTAACTGAGCGAGCATTCTCTGAGCACCTCCTGGGCAGGGAGGCTGTGCCAGGCACTGTGGGCAGCGAGATGGGAGGTGGGAAGCTTGCCCTCTGGGAAGGGGGGTGGCTGGGGGGTACGCCTCCTCCTCCTCCTTGAGGAGCTCCAACCCAAGTTCCTGTCCTGTTTCTGCATTTGCGCAGCTCAATCTCACCTGTGTGGTGTGACTTTGGTTTGGGATTGAGTTTATTCTGGCTTTATTTTACTTTCAGTTTTACTGAGATAGAATTAACAAACTGTGCCATGTAAATTTGAGGTGCGCAGCGTAATGACTTGGCATACATATATTGTGGACTAATTACCGCATCAAGTTAACCTCCTTCACCTCCTAGAGTCACCCAAAAAGCATTTTCTTCCCTTGCAATGAGAACTTTTAGGATTTACTTCCTTAGTATTTTCTAAAATTTTTTATATAAATTCAATTTAATGAACATATATTGTATTATTAGTTTCCGGGGTAGATTGTAGTGACTCGTCAGTTGCCTACAGCACCCAGTGCTCATTCCGTCACATGCCCCCCTTAATGCCCATCCAGTTACCCCATCCCCAGCCTCCCCTCCCCCTTAGTGTTTCTTTTGGACAGAGCCGTTTGGCCTACACAGTAAAGCTCCAGGATGGTTGGAATAGGCCCCAGTTGCATAGTTTGCCTTTCTTACGTCCTTGGCCAGATGTCCCTGTCAGCACACAGATCGCGACCGTCTCCCTGGACCAGAACTGGTGTCCCGGGAACGCCTGCTGTTCCTTCCAGAATCCGAGTGGCGTTGCCTGCTGTCTGTCCCGCAGTTCCTTCTGTCCGCAAGGTCCCCGCTGGGCGCCTGGAGCCCTCCACCCCCACATTCCTGCTTCTGCTGTCTTCCCCGCACCTGCAAGTTCTGTTTGCCCTGGGAGGCCCAGCTCCGATGCCATTACCAGAAACCTCTGGCTACAAACTCCCTCCTCTGAGTAACCTTGCGGCATTTTGCAGTTCTGAGCTGCTTTTACAGTGTCTCGCACGGATCGCTCGAAAGCAGAGTGATTCATGTCCCTGTGCCATCTCCTGTAAACTAACCAGCGACTTGAACGCAGGATTAGTTTTCTGCCTGTTCCAAAGGGCCTACCACGGTGCCGTATGCCTGGGAGGCCCGCTGCAGCTGTTCGAACAAATGATTGAGCTAGTGAGACAGAAGCACACAGCCTTTCTCTGCGTCTTGAAATAGAGGGCATTGTTTACTTGCACGAGAACCCACGATTCCATAAGCTGCAGCATTCACTAACTAGGTCCAAAAATGTGAAATAAAACAGGTGCCCAGGGGCAGGACCAGCACAGAGGAGAGCGGAGCTGCCGCTTCCATGCCGAGGGAGCAGTTTCCAGGCCTGGGCAGGGACTGTGCTGGGCGTGGGGATGACCCAGAAGGGCAAGAGAGGACAAAGAAAGGGACCTGGGAGAGTGACCAGAAATGCCTCCTGTATTGCCTGGCGTCCCCTGGGACAAGGTGGCAGAATGCATCCCATTGAGATCCCTGTTCAACCACAGAAAAAAACACGAAACTCCCTGCCGGTTACAGGTCCTGGTGCACACCCTCCGCTTACTTACACTTTTGTTCTTTGGTGCTTCTGCTTTCTTCTCCCACCTAGAGTGTTCTGCTAAGGCAGACTAGCTTCTGAAGAACAGAAACGCATTCCATCTGGCCACCATGCAAAGAAGGCTTTGTTGGAGGAAAAGAAAGGAATGTCTTGCTTGCAGCAGGCTACATAGCTAGTGTTAAGCACCAGGGGCGGGGTGTGGGGGGGCTGGTATCAGAAAGCCCCGGGTTCGAATCCCAGCTCTGCCGCTTCTAAGTGTAACCTCAGGCAAGCCAGGCCGTCTCTCCCCGCTTCAGTGTCTTCCTTGTTTAAATAGAAGTGAAACTAGTACTCCCACGTGAATTTGGTGTAAGTAACCTACAGACCAGTGCTGAAGTGGGGCTCGGTGCCGGGCAGGCCCTCAGGGAAGGAAGAGCCAGCTTTGTGGGATCGGAGGCCACCTGATACTCTGCGGTCTTTTGGTTTATTCCGCTGAGTGTCTTTCTTCCAGATTTTCTTCTTCTCCCTACACGTGGCACCACCTGGCTCCCAGCCCCAGCTCTGGCATCCACTGGGTCTCACCCAGTCTCTGTGTCCCTGCTTAAAGTTACAGCAGGAGGTGGAGGTCAGGGGGGCCCAGCTCAAGGCAGTGTCCGCCCTTGGACCATTCCACTGTGACCGTGACTGGGAGGCCCAGGCCAGGCTGCCCAGGTTTGCCTCTAGACAGAGGCAGCGAGCCTCAGAACAAATCTGTTCTGTTACCTGTTGGCTGTAGGCAGTTGGTTGAGGCCTTTGGTGATAACCTGGTGAACCGGGTTCTTTCTCTGTATCTCTCTAGGATTTTACTTGAGACATTTCTACCCACCCTTGGTGACAGTGGTTAACTTGGGGCATCTTTCTCTCTTGAGCGTGAGCTCCTTAAGGGAAAAGAACCCTGCATGTATTTCGGTCTCCCTGCGCCTTGCCCCCCGCACACAGTAGGCACTCAGTGGGGGTGGCTGTTGACACGGGGATGCCTTGAAGACATTGCAGGTTCGGTTCCAAATCACCACAATAGAGTTTTGGTCTCCGGAGGCATATAAAAGTCACATTTACCCCACACCGTGGTCTATTAAGTGTGTAATAGCATTCTGTTCAAAAAACAGTGTACTTACATACGTTGATTAAAAGATACTTTACGGCCAAAAAATGGTCACCATCATTGGAACCTTCAGCCAGTCGTCATTACAGATCACAGATCACCATACAAAGGCTGCAAAGTTTGAAATGTGAGAATTACCAAAACGAGACACAGAGACCCAAAGGGATCAAATACCATTGGGTAAATGGCACCACTAGGCTTCCTGGGCTCAGGGCTGCCATCAACCTGGGATAATGGAGAGTGCGGGGCTGTGGCGAGAATGCCAGATTTATTACGCCAGGTATCATCTGTAGGTCTCTCTCCTGGCCCCAAGGTGGTCCTTGACCACTGGATTGTCCCAAAGAAGGGACTGGCCATCAGAACAAGAGGCAAGGATGAGATCCTATGTTCCATAAGATTCCAGAGTCTCCCACTCATCTTCCTTTTAGCTGGATGACCGCTCTCGGCCCCTTTGTGTCCCGTGATGGCTTGATTAACGTGCACATTTCCCTTTAGGATATCAACCTACGAGTGAAATGGCCCAACGATATTTATTACAGTGACCTCATGAAGCTTGGTGGAGTTCTGGTTAACTCGACGCTTTTGGGAGAAACATTTTATATACTCATTGGTGAGTTGTGAAAGCCTTTCGTCCACATTTTTCAATGAAGAAAAACAAAAATAAAAATGGTTTCTACATGACTACCTTGAGGGGAGTGGATTATCATATGGGATTACTTTTTCTTTTGAGTCTTGAGTTACGGAGCACAATATGTATGCAAAACAGGCCAGATTGGTTGAAAGCCCCGTCCAGAGGTTTAGCGTTCCTGTCTCTGGCCATGGAAACCACCAAATCGGTACCACATCAAACAGGCTTTTTCCTGCACCTCTCCACACGCCGGCTTCTTGTCGAATTAGAAGTGGTGAAAATAAACATTTAATATGCCATTTTGTAATAAGAAAAGAAAGCTAACTTCAAGGATGGGGCTGCTGGTGCTTTTTGCATTCTCAATTGAACCTTCTTCAGCCGTGAAAAAGTTGCGTGGGTTTTTGGACTTTTTTTGGTTTTTTGTTATTTGACCTTCAGAAGACGCTCCAGACTGGTCAAGGTCGGGTACAGAATCCCATTTCCCCTCAGCACATCCACATCAGGCAAGAAGGATGCAGACACAGTTTCAGAAGTTTTTGGGCTCCCGCCCCTCTGACACTCAGCTTCTCCCTAATGTCCGGGAGAACTTACTGTTCAGAAATGAGTAATGGGCAGGAAAACGTGTGATGATGTGTTTTGGGGAAGTACCAGCCAGAAAGTGCAAAGCTGGTTTCCAGCTCTGCCACCAACTGGCAATGTTACTCTGGGCCAGCTGTTTCAGCCTCCAGCTCTGCGTCCCATTTTTAAATGCGTTCACTAGGCTAGATGCAAATGTTCCAGGGCAGTGCCCAGAGATATCGAGGAGGTCTGCGGATGGCTTCTGTCAGTGTCGGGGAAAGGAAACATGGTCCTGTAGGGGGAACTCGTGTTTTTTATTTCAATTCTTAAGGCCATGGGATGTGATGGGGGAGAGGGGGAAAGAGTCCGTCCCCAGGAGGGGTGCCCTCTTGTCCATGGAAAGACATGGCCTGAGTTGCCAGTAGTCAGTGCGGCTGTTTTCCCCAGGACTCTGAATTTTCTGAACAGAAGGGAGGTTTTCCAGCACCATATGCGCTTAATTGAATGCCTTACGCTCCAGTACTGTGTGTTGTTGGAGAACAAATGAAGAATTGCCGATTCTTTCCTGTTGCCGGAGTTACTTACTCTCTTTTTCCAGATGTAATTTACATTGCTTTATATTTTAATAGCCAGCATATTAAAAAAAAACAACAAAAACCAACCCCCACCCCCCACACTGAGGCCAATCTGTCCTTCCCTTCACACTGAAAATGGCCCAGAACATCTTCCGAAGAATACTGTTCTCTCCTGTTCTTGTAAATGTCATCATTCTGTCGGAGGCGAGGATTTGGGGAATTTTTGTCTCAGAGGCACTGAAAACAAGAGTGTCTCACTGCTTAGTTCCTGCAATATTTCATTTCTTATGGAAGACCTCTTTGAGGTTGATTGAGGGCCCTGTTGAAAACCGAGGTTTGGCTTCTCAAAGACTCCCACTCTCCTGGAGCGGATGGCAGTATTAAGTCACAGCAGAGACGAGCCCGTTCAGACCCACTGCCGGTGACTCCCTTTCCTGAAGCTCTGGGTTAGGGGCCCTATGAAAGAGCCACTGAACACGGGTTGGCCCCCTGCCAGCAGCGTAACCCTAGCACCAAAGACTTCCAGGGATCACGCAGGAAAGGATATGTTCTAGGGTTATGCCATGACCAAGGTTTGAAATCTCTGAATCCAGAGTTTACGCCTTAAGATCTGAGGGAGATTCTGTATTTTCAGGCATGTGTTTTGTTATTCAAGTCGGAAAAGAAATGGTAGGTTTTACTTTCTCTTGGGCTCAGTGCAGAGCCACAGTTCTTAGCAAGACCCCGGGAAGCACTGTTTCAGAGGCCATTCCAAGGAGCTTTGCCCCGTTCAGAGCTTCTGTTTAACTGAATCGAATCTGGCTGGGTTCCCCCCTCACAGCAAACCGATCTGCAGCAAGGTTGGGGTGGACGAGGATAATCCTTGGACAAGGATAATAAAGGAACAATGAAAAGGAAGATGGTCCCAAAGACACAAGTCATTCATTTACTTTTTAAGATTTATTTATTCATTGGAGAGAGCGAGAGTAGGATGCAGGGAGTGGGGCACAGGGAGAAGGAGAAAGAATGTTAAGCAGACACTGTGTTGAACGGGGAACCCCATGCGGGGCTCGATCTCATGACTCTGAGATCACGACCTGAGCTGAGACTGAGAGTTGGGCACTCAACCAATGGCACCCCCCGCCCCAGGTGCCCCAATAAGTCATTCTTTAAGTGGCCAGAGATGGTAAATTTGAAATGAGGGAAAGGAAGCAGAGAGTCGGTTATAAAGGCTGGAAGTTCTTCCAGGGGGTTGAGAGGAACGTGCGACGCCCTCAGTACATTGAGCTGCTCATGTTTTTCTACTGTTTTTGCGTAGGCTGCGGATTTAACGTGAGTAACAGCAACCCCACCATCTGCATCAATGATCTCATCACAGAATACAATAAGCAACACAGGGCAGAGTTGAAGCCCTTAAGAACCGATGGTCTCATCGCCAGAACCGTGACTGTGCTAGAGAAACTGATCGACACCTTTCAGGACAAAGGGCCCAATGGTGTCCTTCCCCTTTATTATAAGTATTGGGTACACAGGTCAGTGCTGGCCCATCCTCCTCCTTTTAAAATGTCTTCATTAAGTGACTTGTTCAGTATCCTAAAACAGGAAACTAAGCACAGATCTAGATAAATTTTTTTTAAAGATTTATTTATTTTGGAGAGAGAGCACGCACAAGCAGGGGGAGGCACAGAGGGAAAGGGAGAGTCTCAGGCAGACTCTGCACCAAGCTTGGAGCTCAGCTCGGGGCTCCATCCCACGACCCCACCATCACGACCTGAGCTGACAGCAAGAGTCAGACGCTTAACCGACCGCACCCCTCAGGTGCCCCTAGATATTTTTTTTTAAAGATTTTATTTGTATACTTGACAGAGATCACAAGTAGGCAGAGAGGCAGGCAGAGAGAGGAGGAAGCAGGCTCCCTGCTGAGCAGAGAGCCCGATGCGGGCCTCAAAAGCAGAGGCTTTAACCCACTAAGACACCCAGGCACCCCTAGATAATTATTTTTTACCTTTCTGATGGAGAAAACTGGCATCCACCATGTTGAGCGAGTTACCATCAGCAATACGGGGGGGGGGGGGGGGGGGGGGTGGGACTGGCATCCCGTGCCTGCTGGTGGGATCCTGTGGGCAGGACACAGCCTCACCTGAGTGTTTTCTGGCATGTTTAAGTGGAGCCTAACATGAGGAAACAAACACTTGTTAAATTCTAGAACATTCTAAAAAAAAAAAAAAATTCTAGAACATTCTAGATAACAACCGTTTTCAAAGTGAGATCCCCCAGGGGGGCGGGAGCACCCTCACCTGGGAACTTGTTAGAAATGGACCGCCTAAATCAGAAACTCTGAGGCTGGCTGAACATTCGTGTTTTAACACGTGCTTTAGGGGGTCTGCGGGCACTTGGAGCCTGAGAAGCGTGGTGGATACCAGTAGGCCGCTAACACATCACAAATGTCCAGGTCTTCAAACACACAAAATAAAAAGAAGGTTGGAGGTTTGTTTGAGAGTAAAGAGGCATGACAACTAAATGCAAAATGTGATTCATAATTAGCTCCTGGATGAGCCGAAATCACCACAAATGATATTAATGGGGCAATGGGGAAATTTAAACATGAACTATCTGCTAGATGTTGTTGTATGGAGATTAGGTTTCTCGAGGGTGATAATGGCATTCTGGTTTTGTGGGAGATTGTTCTTAGGAGGTACATGCTGAAGTATTTAAGTATAAAGTGTCATGATGCCTGCAACTTATTTTTAAATGTCAGCAAAAAAGCATGTGTGTGTGTGTGTGTGTGTGTGCGCATGAAGAGAGAAAGCGAATATGGAAAATGTTATCAGTTGGTGTGAATATAAGCAAAGGGGGATTCTGGGGTCCTTGTCCTGTGTCTTCAACTTTTCTGTAGGTTTAAAATTCTTCCAAATGAAAATAAGGGGGGGTGGGGAGCACTGGGGTGGACCCTCTATTTTAGAAACTATTAACAGGCATGTGACTTGACAGGTGAATTTGGAAAATATTAAAAGAAGCAGCGTTAGGGGTGCCTGGGTGGCTCAGTGGGTTAAGCCTCTGACTTTGGCTCAGGTCATGATCCCAGGGTCCTGAGATCAAGTCCCGCATCGGACTCTCTGCTTGACAGGGAGCCTGCTTCCTCCTCTCTCTTTGCCTGCCTCTCTGCCTACTTGTGATCGTTGTCTGTCAAATAAATAGATGAGATCTTTAAAAAAAAAAAATTACAGCCTTGTATTAAAAAAAAAAAAGGAAGCAGCAGCGTTAGAGTGAGTTCAACTTGCTGTTGATGGTACCAGCTTTGTTTTAGAAAATCCGCTTTCCAGCTCAGCTTTTTCCCCAGCCTCAACCCAAACACCTAAAATGGCACAGCGGTTCTTAAAAGTGCTGGATGGGGGGAGCAAGTGGGATAAATCACCATCCGGATGGTCAGATGATGGGAATTAGGAGCAAGGCCACGCTCCCCATTGGTAGAAGTTCCCATCCCCAGTTCCATCACCCTGATTTTCTAGTAGCTAGCAAAATAGTTCAGGCAGGACCAGTGAAAGTCAAAGCGTTTTCTCTCTCCCACCCACCCCCTCCCCATCCCCCCCTCCCCGCGGGAGGGGTGAGTACTTAGCCGCCTGTCTCCAGACGCTGCATTACTTTTCCCGCTGACTCTCTGCTGTTCCTCACATACAGTGGCCAGCGGGTCCGCCTGGGAGGCCTGGAGGGGCCAGAGGTGTGGATAGTCGGCCTGGATGACTCCGGGTTCCTTCAGGTCGAGGAGAATGACGGCAAGGTGGTGACCGTGCATCCCGACGGCAACTCCTTCGACATGCTGAGAAACCTCATCCTCCCCAAACAGCAGTAGCGGGCCTGGGGGCCTGCAGGGGGCTGCCCCCGGGCAGTGAGAGGGCCTGCAGAGCCGCCCCAGTGAGTATTCCAGGTCATTCCCACCGCCCTTTCCTAGCCCGAGGATCTGGAAAACGGTTTTAGAGTTGTGAGCGAGAGTGGCCTCCTTCCAATTAACCCGCGTAATTCCTTCATGTTGATCTGTCTGCTGCCCTTTCCCTTGGCGTTCGCAGACGTCCTAGGGCGGAGGGATGGCAAGCGGAGACTTATTTCAGGTGAGGCACGGCCGCACGTGTGAAATCCTTTTCCCCTCTTGGGCTTGGATGTGTGTTTATTGACCAAAAAAAAAAAAAAAAAAAAAAAAAAAAGTTTTTATTTGGAAAACAGCAACGGAATAATTCAGCTGTTTCCCCAGTAGCCAAGACCTGCACTCCAGACTATTAAAAAACAAATCAAAAATAGCGTCCAGGCCCAGACCGGTGATGGAGCAGAGGTTTGGTGACACCCTTTATGAACATTCAGGGAGGGGTTTTCCTAGAGAAACACACGTTGGCACTTGGTGGTGGTTTTATTTTTCTTTGTTAATGAGAAAAGAGTTGGTAGACTTCTGAGCATTGACTCTGAGCCCGGGGGTTTGGCGGTCCAGCAACGGTGCCCGAGATGGGTGTCCCCGGCGTGGTTGCAGTAACCTTGTAGAGGAAATCAGTTAGTTACTTCGACAAGAATCTATGAGCTTCTTTTTCGTAAGTTTGAATTACTGCAGATTCTGAAGGGATGGGATCAAGTTCAAGATCCACGATTAGGCCTCCCGTGCTTGTGGGGTGGATGATTGGGCCCCAGCAGCTGGAGAGAAGACTCACTCATCCCACACACCACGGAGGATTTGGAGCTTTTAAGCCCATTGTAGGCTCACTTTGAAATCTGGAGCATTCCGGAAAGACCATTTGGTGTACAGAATGTACATGTACGTGGCATTTTATTTGTAAGTCATAATTTTTTTGCCCCCCCTTCCCTAAATTGCCGAGAAACAAAATGCAACTGATACTGAGCACCATCATTTAAGAGGGAGGGGGTGTGTGTGTGTGTGTGTGTGTGTGAAGCTTTAAAAGAAGATGTTCAAGATGTTCAAGATCGATGCCCTAAAAGTCTCCGTGGAAGAACAAAAGAAAGGAAACCTTTTGATATGCATTTGCGATTTCCAGATGCACTCCATGCTTTTTCCATGTCACTCCTGTCTCTGCTGAACTTGGGAATCAGACACATTACTTTTCAGCCTTAAAGGGCTGATTTTTTGCCCACTTTTCTCTCTTCCTGCCAGTCCCAACTGAAATTAGTGGAAGGAAAACTGGATGGAGCTCTCAGCTTTGAACAGAATCCCCTTATTGTTCACGAGTACCGGCTTCCTCCAGTCGGGCTAATTCCAGAAACTGTGGTTTTCAGTATAAAATGTGCCTACCTTAGGCATAGGCAGCACCATAGGAAGGGGGGAAAAACAGCATGTTTGCTTAAGTACACCAACCCCATATGTGTTTTTTTGGAAATGTAACTTTAAAAGAACGTCAGAAGTAATTTTTGCAAATAAGGCTTCCATTAGAACTATTTTTCTCAAAAAAAAAAAAAAAAACCACAAAAAAAATGAAAACAAAAAATACCAAAATACTGCTCTCTCCTAAGTGTCCAAGTCTTCGTTTGGAACTAGTGACAAGTTTCAATCAAAGCCCACAGCACCCCCAGGATCACCAAATGGACTCACCCTAGAGAGGGCATCTGTACAATATCGTCAGGAGGAAAGATCTCCAGGCTAATGTTGCAAGTTTCATTTCTCAAACTTTGTAATATAAGGCCAGTCGTCTCTCAGGGCTCTGCCATTGGTACTGTTTGAATTTCTTTTGGGGGGTTCTTTAATGAAAAACATGCTGTGTTTTGTTTTAAGCTGAAGTCCCGTTCTAGACAGTTCTGCTTTGGGGAAAAAATGTTATCATTTAATTTCCTTTCTGTAAATTAAAACTAATGATGTGTGGCCGTGTCAGTGCAGATGGGAGATGTTCCGGGCATACGGCTTGGCCTCTGTGCTTTCAAGACTGTTCCTTACGTGTGCCGCCACGCAGTTGTCTTGGGGGAGACAAAATAGAGACTCGAAGCAGATGCTACGTTTTCCGTAAACCCGCTCTTGCCTCCTGTGAACCAAAGACTTATGAAATTCTGCTTCCTAGAGAATAGCTGAATAAAAGCATCTTCCTTAGAGCTCTTCGCATTAGGGAAATTATCTACTTGCTACACTACCCTCATGGATTGGGGGCCTTCGGGCACCCGGCCATCTCCGATCTCAAGGAACTTTCAGGTCTTAACAGAAACGTTCCATTTTCTTCCTAGTCTTTAAAACATGGCAACTGAACTCAGGATTGGCATGCATCGCCAGGACACTGGATTTGCTCCCAAGTTTAGAGGCTGCCCTTGAGCATCTACCTGGTTATGTAAAAAGAAAACAAAACTAAACAAGACCTCCTCCCTTGCGGGTTGGCTGCAGATTTCAGGGGAAACTGTGGGAAAGCGCCCCCTGAAGATGCACAAGAAAGTTTTCCCTCGTTCATATTTTATTTTCCAGAAGGCCTTCCTGGCTGAAGCAGCGTCCCCTTGACCTTGGGCGAAGTTGAAGGATTCATGTCTGGTCTGAAATAGCCAGTGGGGTTTGCTCCTGCAGACTTGGCCTGATGTGGGATCAAGTGGGTGATGGGGGGTGGGTGGGGAACAAACGTGGGGGGGTGGCGCATGCAGCCTCCAGTCCGTGCCCCCCCCATACACCCGCGGGGATGGCCAGTGTACTTGCCCCTACCCTTGAGCCTGGGAACCAGGAGAGAAGCCAGCCTCATCCAGCAGCTTCAGGATACACAGGCGGACATTTTCGGCTTGCATTCTGGAAGATCTCTTTGCTCTTAACAGGCAGAACGGGAGAATCCTCATTCCTGGCTTATTACTATGCACATCTGAAATTTTAAACCTTCGCATTTTTACCTTTTCCAAAGAACTGTCTCAGAAAAGTAATCACTTTAAGCCAATGCCTATAAAAAGCAAGTCTACCAAAATAAACTTTAAGATTTTTCTGTACAGTTTGGGCTCGTTGTTCTTTTGACCACAAGTTTCATTTTTCAAAATAGGCAACTACTCTTGGTTACAGTATCTTTATTCATATTTAAACATTTTTACAAAATAAATAGTTTTACATAGTAAGGTATATGTATGTATTTCTAAGTATTGAGAAGTTGGGTGCTTTCTTTGTTGTTTTTGATTTATTTTTGACAAATGTATTAAGTGTCATACAAAAGAGAAATCTTAGTACTCCAAAGAATGAAAGTTAGCAAAACCCAAAGTAAAAAAAAAAAAAAAAAAAAAAAAAGACCCCTTTTAACTGAAGTGAGAAATAAATTTAATATAACCATTTAATATAAATTTTTAAATTGAAAAATTTAATATAACAACAAATTTACTATACGAACAGATTTTGTTCTTGTAGAATTGTTCTTACTCTTTTTTATAAGAACCGCTTAGCTTTTGAGTTTTTTTCCCCCCAAGGTTTTAACCTTATATATCATACTTAAGTTTAGGAACAGCTTGAATAATGCATCTTCGATAACCCAAGGGGTACGATTCACTAAGATTTTACACTACTCTAATTTTCTGGCATTTATTTGAAAATGTTCTTTTTATCCCATATTATTTGTAGCAGCCCCCACAGTGTACCTTAACTGTCTTACAGTTACAACAAAATTACAACTTCAGGTAGACTTTGTATAGGATTCATTGACTGTATAAACCTCTCCCGTCCTTAGGGTCCATGGGGGAAGGCTTGGCCATAGGACTTTAAAAAGGACAAAGGGGTAGGAGGTGAGGGGGTGCAAAATACCCAGCTCTTGCAGATTTCCCCAGAGCAGCCTTCTTCACACCCTGTTCCCTTCTCTACAAAGGTATGAATGGAATGGCTTTTCTAGAAAGGGCTTCCATGAACATAAAGGAATTCCTTTCCCTGGGAGGCCCCTTGGAGGGCCGGGCCAGTCTTGAACTGGGTCTATTTCTCAAATCCTTTTGATCTGGCGTTTTTGTCAACGGGTTAGGACCCACTACAGTTTTTTTTTCTTTTTTTGTGAAAGAGAGTCATATTTGTCAAAATGCTTCCTCTTACCCTGCCAGAGCCTCCCAGAAGTCAAGAAATGATATCCCCAGCTTAAATGTGCAGACTCTTAAAGATGGAGGTAACAATATTAGGTTGCCATGGTAACTCCTGTTAACTTTGCACTGAGCTGCCCTGAAGCCGGCTTGCTTGCGTAGCAATCTTCCTTCGTGTTCTAGGCTATGAAAACCCCTAGGTTTGTTTAGACAAGGAAGTTTTCCCTAGTACACATTTCATTTTTCAAGTATACACACACTCATTGTTAAGACTGTTTACGTTATCATTTGCAAGTCTATCATGGTCTTATCTTTTCATAGTAACCTAAACTGCTCGAAAGCTTTCGTGGTTTGTATTTACTCGTGAACACAGCCCCCGATGATTAATAACAAGGGAGACACAAACGCATTTTGTGGTACTTTATTGAAAAATGTCACGTGATATCTGCTCATCAAACCGCACCTTTCAGGAATCCTGGTTTAATGACAGGACTTGTGAGCATAAAAAAATAATACCCCAGGCTTATTTTCTGTGTGCACAAAGAGCTGCTCATGAGGTATCGCTAAGTGCAGTAGGGAGGTGGATGCTTATGACTCAGTCCCTTTGCTGCAGGACAGACTCCTGTTCCTAAGTTTGCAAGTGTCACCCCCTACATAAGGCTCCTGACGCCCTGCTAAGAATGAGGCAGACCCTCAGTGTGACACCAGGTTGGCAAGCAATCATCTCAGATTTTGCAAACAGTCAATTATATATAGGTGCGCTTCGATTCGCCAACGAGGACTTAAAAAGACATTTGTGAAAACTCTTTCCACTCAGAAAGGCGCAGAGTTTCCTGAAAGAAAACCATTTTGGAAACAGGGAGAGGAGGGCGTGTTTTAGAGTGTGGAAAAGATTGAAAGACGGTGGTTCCATGCACCAATCCATTTCAGAGGCACGGTGGGATTTTTAAATGGTGAAATCTTGAAGCAAAAAATATAAAAGACAAAAATGAAGGGAAGTTTGTTTTTTAAACACTGCTGGTGCTTTATAAAAGGATTTCTGTTCACCTGTTACATACAGGACATGTTGAAGGGTTTTTTTTGTTTTTGTTTTTTGCTATGCAGAAAATGCAAGAAATGCTGAAGAAAATGTATACACCATTTTTATACCATCCCTCTAGCGAGCTTTCTTCCACGAGGGCGCAGTCCATTGACAATTTTCCATATTGCACATGCAATTTAACTAACTTTATTAGCATTACTTGTAGCAAACCCGAGCCTAGGGAGTTACAGGTCTTTGTGGGCCACAGGGATGCTGCCTTGTAATCAAACCCGACAGGGGTAGCCAGTCGCCTTGGGCACCTCATCATCCAACGTGTCATTCTCAGAAAACACCTGGCTCTCTCTAGCTCTGCATTTAATGCCTATTTCATCTATTCGGAAGGTGCTATTCTTGGTGGTATCGAGAGTTCATAGGGCTTGGGAGGAAGTGAAAGCTCATGAACGTGCTTGTGGGGCACCCCCACGTGCCTTCACCCCCTTGGTCTCGGCTTGATGATGTTTGTACTCAGAAAAGGCTTAAATTAAAACGACAACTTCTAATGAGACTCGTGAATGACCTGCAAAGTCAGAGTTGTCGTCGACGCGCGGGACTTCAATCCTCACACCCTGCCTTAAGACGCCAGGAGCGCTGAGTTCCCGAGGCCGCCTCCTTCCGGGGGGGCCACCGCCCGGCGTGTCTCACCGCATGGGGGGGCTCTCCGCTCTACGGGGGTGCTCTCCGCGGGGTGGGAGCTCCTGCGGTCCCCCGGCGGGACGGCTACTGAGCACCGGGGACGAGGCGAGGCGCGCGAGCCCGATGGCAAGGTGGGGCACCCGAGTCCGCCCCCCGACGGGGTAGTCTGAGGTCACACGCGGGACGCGGGGGGCGCTCAGCCCCGCCCCTTGGGGGCCCGGCTCTGGGAGGACAACGGTCCGGCGGGCCTTTCTCCCCCGGCCTCGGGCCGCGCCGCAGTCCCCTGCACCGGCGTTTGCGGGATCTACGTAAAAATCTAGAAGGCGGCCGCGGAGTTCTAGTAAAATAGTCGTCTCTGCATAAATTAATTTAAACCGTGCGTCTGCAGCTCGCCCCTCGCCACTCGGCTGCGCTCTGGAGAACGGGAGCCCGAGGCCTGGCCTATGGCTTCTCCCTGCGGGCAGCCCAGCGCGACGTCACCTGCCGTTGGTGATGATGACCGAGGCGCCCAGGTAGTGCGGCAGCGGCGCTCCGGGCGGCGAGGCGGCGGCGGGGCCGGAAGGCCGAGGCCGCAGCGCGCCGGCCGCCGTCTCGGGGGCGCCGGGGCCGCCGGCCAGAGCGGGTGCGCCGGGCGCAGCGCCCCCCAGCGGCCCGCGCCGGGCCAGCACGCGGTGGTAGTTGAGCAGCACGAAGGGCAGCTGCGCAGGCGCGCCCGGGAGCTCGGGGGCCGGCGGCGCGCAGCAGTCCGGCGCCGCGCGGGTCAGCGCCAGCCGCGCCCCGTCCCGGGCGGCCTGGCGGGCGGCCTTGGCCGGGCCCAGCGCGGGCTCCTCGCGGTAGTGGCCGCAGCTCGGGAAGCTCGGCGGCGGCGGCGGCGGCGGTGGCGGCGGCGGCGCGGTGTCCTCGCCGAACCTGCGCGCGGCGGCGGCGGCGGGCGCTGCGGGGACAGGCGACACGTTAGACGCCCGCGCGGGGGATGAAGGGGACCTGCCCAAAGCAGCTCCAACCCGGCGGATCCGGACGCCGCCACTACCCCCTCGGCCCCCCGCTGCGCGCCCCGCCCCCGCCCCCCCCGCACCGCGGCCGCCTGGGCCCCTTCCCCTCCGCGCCCAGGCCCGCGCTGTCCAGTGCAGGCTGCACATTGCCGCGCTCCGGAGGTCGCGCTCCAGCGCGGAGAGAAACAGGTGGAATTCGCGGAAACCGCTGCTCAGTGTAAATGCCACGTATCCAACAGATTCTTCCCATGTGGAATCAATACCCTTCAAAGACCCGAGATACTTGATTCTTTGTTTCTGTCTTCGAAGTGCCGTGCACACACAGCAGCACCTCTCGGTGCCCGGGCCACATTTCCGTGCGCGAGAGCTGCACGTGGCTACTGGCTACCATGTTGGACAGCGTTGGTTTGGAGGCTTCCACTGCCTGCCGGGTAAGGTGACCCCAGCCAACCCTGTTTTTTTTTCCTCTTTCTCACACCTTTTATTTTGCTGCTTAGCCCTCAGTGGGTGGTAATCACGCCTGCTCCTTTTAGTATTATGTCCTAACTAAAGGTCATAACCACCCAAACTAATCAGGTGCCCGCAATCAGTTAGCTCCCTATGGTTGTGTTTTTTTTTTTTTGCTTTTGCTTTTTTTTTTTTTTCCTTTAAGACAAACTTTGTCTTCCTTTAATATCAAAGAAGACTAGGAAGTAGATCACGAATTGCCCCCAAATTTGGCCCATTTTTACCAAGGGTATGACAAATGAGCTCCTTATTAACCTCTTTCACTTTCAAAATAGCAATTTAAAAATATATGTGATACTGTGTGTTGGTTATATCATTGGCCAAACAAAAAGAATTCTTTCAGATCAACCTCAAGTGAATAATATTTTCAGCTGTTATCAAGCCTCTTAGCTTTGCCTTTCTGGTCATTGGGGAAAATCCCTTCCTTGGTTATTGGAGTGACCCCGTGCGCTGTCGGCTGTCTGTCCAAAACTGAGGACCTGGTGGCTCCAAGCACTGGCCCAGACCAGAAGGCAGGTTTGCATTGCCCTAGTCGCTGGTGTGTTCTTTTCTAAGCTGCCTACTTCGGAAAAACATGTCCTAGTAATCTCCAACATGGTTTGCTTTCTCCTACAATCTACCCCTCTTCTCAGGTTTAGAGAAAAAAATGTGTCTCAGCCTTGTAAAGACAGAGTCTGAGCAAGAGATTGCCCCAAGCAACCCAAGGAGGAACAGAGCCCTACCTGCTTCCAAAGAGAGAAAGTTAGAGGGGAAGGAGGGGGCTCCAAAAAGCTCTTCTCTTGAGGCAGGTGTTTCTTTTCTGAGTATGTCACATTCACCCTGAATGTAGGAGTCAATGCAGGAAATTCGAACCATCGTGGGCTACCCTCTGAGCAGTAGTTAGTTCTGCATGAAACAGGAGTGTACCTCTCGCAACTACCTCTCAACCCCTACCTACCCTCTGCCTGGGGTTGGTCCAGTGAGCAAACAGGAGTCTGTCTGGGCCTGGGGATGCTGATGGCACATCCACAGAGGACATTTGCTTGTCTGCGACCAGGAAGGGCTGGGGTAGGGGCCATTCCTCTCTCTCTGTTGTTGAACCACTGGTGCTGGCCAATCCCTGGGGTAGTAGGCATATCGCATGGGTTATGATCCCATTTTACAGATGAAGAAACTGAGTCATGGAGTGTTTACGTAATTTGCCCTGGGTTGGTGAGTGACACTTCTGTCTTTGAGCTCAGGAATTTTTACCACTCTTTTCCACACTTTGAAAACTGGCTTGGGAAGCAAACCAGCAGCGTCCCATATTCATTTTTGGGTGGAGTGGGAGAGTAGTCTTGTAAAATAACTGCGGTTGCAGCATTCTCAAACCCAGGAGCTGGGTTTGAAAATCACTTTGTCTCCCTCTTGGGGAGCAAATGAGGCCAGGGATTCTATGGAGGGTGGCTGAATCCCTGGGTTCCTCTGCCCTCTATGCTGTCACCGGTGCCACGAGAGGCACACAGACTCGGTCACCCTGCTTCTCTCCCTCTCGTGAAGCTCCTCTCATTGAGAGCAGGAAAGTGTAGCAACTCCTACTTATAAGCAGAAAAAGGAAAAGTTGGCCCAAAGTGTGAGGATCCTTTTTCCATTTGCCACCCACCGCCAGCACCGCCGCTGTTTACAGTCCTGCCCCCTCCCCTCGTGCAAACATGACCCACCTTCGTAGTTTGGCACAAGGCTGTGCCGAGCAGTGTTCACTGGCGACTCAGAAAGGCTTTTAGCTGGAGTCGGGCTGCTAGGCACTAGGGGGTTGGCGTAATGCCACTGGCATTCACCACTGGCTGGCAGGGTGCTCAGGAAAAAGCGTGCCACCTCACACGGGGATCCTTGGGGCTGCCCAAATTTGGCTGGCAACATTGGTTTTTTGCTGCTAAAGACGTGAGAGTCCAGAGGGAAGTGTCCATAATGGTAGGAGAAGGGCAGGCTGTAGGACGGGGCGTACAAAAGGTCACTGCTTTCTGAATGGAGCTGCTGTTCTGGGGGTGCCGGGGTGTTTGCCGGGGGGCTGGCTCTCCAGTTTCCCAGCTGGCTGCATTCCAGTTTGTCCATTTGGAACGAGCTGTATTGCTGCATGGGAAGGAAGACGGATGAAGGGGCCGGTGAGAGACCCCTCCGGCCTCACCAGACCTGACCCTCTAGGACTTAGTTACATCCCTGGGCGCGGCCACAGCGGGGAGGCCCCACTGGGGACAGGTGCACAGCCAACAGTACACAGTGACCCAGTCCCTGTGTGGGAGGAGGTCTCCCGAGCCCAAGCTGACCACATGCCACAAACACACACACACACACACACACACACTTTCTACTAGAGGTTACAAACTACACTTAAAAAAAAAAAAAAAGGAGAGCCTGGGTAACTCAGTCATTAAGTGACTGCCTTCAGCTCAGGTCATGATCCCAAGGTGCTGGGATCAAGCCCTCCATCGGGCTCTCTGTCCAGTGGGAAGCCTGCTTCTCCCTCTACCGCTCCCCCTGCTTGTGTTCCCTCTCTCGCTCACTCTCTGTCAAATAAATAAATAAAATCTTTAAAAAAAAAAAAAAGGAAGGTTCTCGTTAAAAAATAAATGCTGTGGAAACACAATGCGCTAAGCCACTTTAACATGGAACCCAGCAAGCTGATGTGCCTTCTTAATTTAGTCTTTTTTTTCCTAGACCTCACGAGCCCTCCCAGATGTTAGTTTCACGTGCCTCTAGGCTGTGTCTCTGCCAAGTGCCCGGGACATCCCCAGGGGACTTGCCCACACGCCACAGGGAAACTTCTGGGCCGGGAGACCCGCTCTGCGGTCAGAGGCTCCGTGTTCTTGGACGGGCTGGTGGTCCTGAACACCCTCACCCACCCCCGGCCGGGTGCCTGCTGCATCCAGCCCCAGCAGTCCCCCCCGGGCTTACCTGTGAGGGGTAAGGGTTTGTTCTCAGCTTTGTCTTCATCTTCGTGTTTTTGGGTTTAGCTGATTTCCTAGTTTCTTGTGAGGTAGACAAGGCAGTCCTCCAGGAGTCCTGGCACTTGGACGTGGACACCTGGTCCAGGGACAGCTGCAGCTCCTTGTATTCGATCTCCCTGAGAAGCAAGAGCAGGACAAGTCCTGTCCAGCGGGCTGCGGGGGAAGGGCGGCTTCCCCGGCCCCAGCCCCTGAGCGGGTGCGTTCCCGGGCCTCCAGCACAGCAGACCACTGAGGTTGGGTGGGACAGGACTTGAGCAGAGAGCAGCCCACCCTCGTGAGAAAAGCCCCCCTGAAGGCTTGGGCAATGCTGTGAGGTCAGTGTATGTGGCAGGAATAGCGGGGTGGGGGGGTTTCACTTTGGCGCTCTTGCATCCTGTAGCTCCCAAACACGTTTCCCAGTGACACGATGGGCCATGAGGAAGCGTGTCAGGGCAGAAGGAAAGGGCAGAAGCACTACTTATCATTCAGTTAGCACCCAGGGAGGCGTGGGTGGGAGACCAGCAAGGGTCCAGGAGCCTGACTGCCAGCCTCGTCCATTTCCACAACAGGCGCCAGCTTGTGCCCTGAAGACCTAACTCGGCAATGTCATGTTCGTGGTTGGAGGGGTGAGGAAGCTCCCCGGAGTACCAGCCACTGGGCTGCTTAGGAAGAATCATGAAGGGGCCAAAATGCTTTCCTCCCTACAGTTTTGTTAAAATCACCTCTAGTTCTAAAAAATCAAAAACAAAATCAAGAAACCAGCGACCTGGTCATTCTATGAAAGATCTGAGAGCCTAAATCCTTCCTGCTCTAGAGGACACTCGAGGACCTTGTTCCGGGTAGGGCTGGGGGACAGCCTGGACATCAAGTTCAGGGCCAGAGCTGGGTACAGGTGATTTCACATACAGTAGCCATGGTGGGTCCACAGTAATGTGTGGTCCCAGGGAGACCCATGTCCTGCTGTGCCTAATGGTCTTGAAAGTATATGCAACTGATGGGGCGCCTGGATGGCTCAGTGGGTTAAAGCCTCTTCCTTCGGTCCAGGTCATGATCCAGGGTCCTGGGATCAAGCCCTGCATTGGGCTCTCTGCTCAGCAGGGAGCCTGCTTCCTCCTCTCTCTCTGCCTGCCTCTCTACCAACTTGTGATCTCTGTCTGTTAAATAAATAAAATCTTTTTAGAAAAAAGTATATGCAACTGAACTTGACCTTCAGGGATTTTTAAAGGGGCCAAACGCTCATCATTATCTGCAATGGGCTGTCTAGAAAGACAGGAAAAGATGTGAGATAGCTCCTGTCCCACATGGCAGGAGCGCACAAGATGACCCCGACATTTGTGGACACAAAGAGCATAAATTCATATTCCTGGTCCTGGAGATACATCGCCTATACGTTCTGTGCAAGATGGAGGGCAAGGGCACCTGCCCCCTGCCCCTGCCCCCCCCCACAGCTGGTCTCTGTGGTCTGATCTTCAGCTGTGCCTGGGCCAGGGCTCCCTTTCCGGCGTTCACCCAATGCCCAGCGCCTGGCTCTCCGTGCTGAGTACAGAAATAGTTTGGCCCTTCCCAAACGAACAGATTGTTCAAATAAAAACAAAACAGGAGACAAATGAACAGTTTTGGAAAGAGAGAGAGAGAGGGAGCGATGGTGCTTGTGGGAGCGGACTGATGAGGGACGGGAGGAGGAGAGAGCAAGGAAACAAATACGTCTGACTTACGTGAGGACATAATTGACACTCACGATGCAGTGCGGCCGGGACGAGCGGCTGTTGTGCACGACGGTGGCGTAGCTCTGCACCCACACCCAGCCGCCCAGCTTGGACAGCAGCCGGTAGTACTTGGTGGTGACCTGGCCCTTCACCAGCACTGCAAGCACAAGATGACATGAGTCCCGAGGGGCAGTTAGCAGGCCCCAGCTTCAGGGACATCGCCCCCCACGAATAACCCATAGTCCCGGTTCTGGAGCTTTTCGGGGTCAAGGACGCTTCTGAGAACTTGACAAAGGAATGGGCTTTCTCCACAGGAAGGTGCATGCTTGGATGCGCACACACGCACACGCACATGCACACACGCACGCAGGCAAGATTTTTTTACCTATGGCTTCCAGGGGTCTCAGTAGCACTCCCCTCCCCCATCAAAAGTAATAGTCACTGATTTCATTGGGAAAAACAATTAGTCCCCATACAACATTTACACTTGGCAGAGCGATAAAATTGGTTCTGCATTTCGGTTTCCCAAATGCCATGATTATGTTATAATCCCCCAAACCCTTAATCCCCCAAACCCTTAATAGGCACCAGGGGGAGGGGTGGTGTAGTTATTTAAACAAAATAATAAGTACATTCAACCAAGTGTCAATTGTTGTTGGTATTTGCTACTCTCCAGAACATGTGTGTATTCACAGAGAGACTACTGTTCTGATGCCTTTTATATTTTCTTCCCGTCAGCCCCACTTTTCCCCGGGCCTGTTAATTTCCTATGTTGCATATGTAGGAAAGAACTCTGCTTGGCTAGTTTCTTAACACTGGGCCTATAGGCCCACCTTCCACGCATGGGCGCAAACTCCATACTGCTAAGCCACACTCCCATCCAAAATCTCTCTACTCATTTCTCTCAGGGCCTGGAGAGCACAGGCTGGAGGGGAAGGAAAGTGCCAGAAGCTCTGGGTGGGCAGTTGAGAGGAGAAAGTCCCAGTTAGCTTTCTCCAGGGAGGGGGAGGCCAGCACAAATCTAAAATGCATCCCTTGATGCCCAGGTCATGGCTATAGAGCATTCCTGCTTCTCAAAGCAGGGCTGGCCCTAGGGCCCTAACTAGCAGCCATCTGAACAGGGATTTGGGGAGGTGGCCAAATTCTGTGCTTGCACTAGTTGGCACTGAAGGGACCTCCTGGGGGCTCACAGACACAGAAATTCAGCCCTCGTCTTGTGCCACTAGGCAGAGCCTCCTCACCATCTGCCCAAACACTCCTGGGGTTCTCCACTGCCTTTTGTGGCTTTTCATATTAAGGGTGCCTCTTTATCATCCATTTTAACACCTGCTGTAAAGTATTCTGGTGCAGAAGAAAAAATACTGCAAATATGATAGTCAAAGAGCTACAAGCCTTAATATATAAAGAGTTCACATGGATCAATGAAAACATTAAGACCCTAAAAGTAATATGAGAAAAGGACCTGAAAAAACAATTCACCAAAGAATAAAGATAAATGAGAAACAAATGTTCAATGTATTTGCTTAGTTCAAAGCTAGATAACATTCATTAAATTAGCAGACATTTAAAAAGAAACAAATATTATATGGTTCCATTTATGTGAAATGTCCACAACAGGCACATCTGTAGAGACCAAAAGCAGCTTAGTGGTTGACAGAACTTGGGGGTTGAGGAGCACCAGGAGTGACTGCTGATGGGTACCAGGGTTCTTCTTGGAATGAAGGAAATGTTCTAGAACTCAGTAAAGAGTTCAGTGTGACAGTTGCATGACACTGTAAATATTCAGAAAACCTCTGAAAATGGTTAAAATGGTGAGTTTCATACTATGTGGATTGTATCTCAAAGAAAATAATGAACTGACAATGGGTGATGTCAGCTAATGTATGGTGGGAGGCATTGTCATGCATTGAGAGAAGCATGGATTGGTATAGTCCATCTGGGAAGCAGTTTGATGGCTCATATCCACTGACATAATGACTTCACTTCTAATAATTGATCTTGTTATAAGCAGTTCTGTTTATAATTCTGGGAAAAAAGTGAGGGGGAGACTTGACTGCCTAAGAATTAGGGAAGATGGTAAATACATTTTGGAGTACTATGCAGCTATTGGAATACTGATTAATATGAATTTTGTAATATTATGGGGAATGTGTATGGTATAATGATAAGTGAAAATAAGACATTCAAGACCACAGAAATAAGAAAATCATATGAGACTGCTGTGAACAATTACATGCCCACAAATTGAACAACTTAGAAGAAATGGATAATCTGCTAGAAACATACAATCTATGAAGACTAAAGATGAAGAAACAGAAATTCTGAACAGGAATGATTACTATTAAGGAGACTGAATCAGTGATCCAAACCTCCCAACAAACAAAAGTGCAGGATCAGATGACTTCACTGGTGAATTCACCGAATGCTTAAAGGAGAGTTAATATCAATCCTTTTCAAACTCTTCGGAAAATCAGAGGAGGAGGGAATACTTTCAGACATATCTATGAGGCCAGCAATTCCCTGATACCAAAACCAGACAAGGGTACCACAAAAAAGGGGAAATTACAGCCAATATCTCTGATGAACATAGGTGCAAAAATCCTCAACAAAATATTAACAAGCTGAATTCAATGATACATTAAAAGGATCACACACCAAGATCAAACGGGATTTATGTCCAGGATGCAAGGATGGTTCAATATCTGCAAATCAATTGGTAGGATACACCGCACTAACTAGGTGAAGGATAAAAATAGGTGCAGAAAAATCATTTGAAAATTCAACACCCATTTATGATTAAAAAAAAAAAAAACCCTCTCAACAAAGTGGGGATATAAATGCCCACTGTACATAATAAAAGCCATTCATGACAAGTTCACAGCTAACACCACACTCAACAGGGGAACACTCTCACCACTTTTATTCAACAGAATCAGAAGTGCTAGCCGAGCACTTAGGTAAGAAGAAGAAGAAATAAATGGCAACCCAGCTGAAAAGGAAGAAGTAAAATTGTCACTATTTGCAGATGATACAACATATACAGAAGACCCTAAAGACTCCATCAAAAAACTCTTACAACTAATAAATGAATTGAGTAGAGCTGCAGGATATAAAATCAATATACAAAAATCTGTTGAGTTTCTATACATTAATAATGAACTGTTAGAAAGAGAAATTAAGAAAAAAAGTCCCATTTACAAATTACATCAAACAGAATAAAATACCTAAGAATAAACTTAACTGAGGAGATGAAAGACCCTAAAAACTACAGACATTAATGAAAGAAACTGAAGGAGACAGAAATTAATGCAAAGGTATCCCATGTTCATGGAGTGGAAGAATTCATATAAAATGCCCATACCACCTGGAGCAATCTACAGACTTAATGCAATCCTTATCAAAATTCCAGTGTCATCCTTCGAAAAAACAGAACAAACAACCCTAAAATTTGTATGGAACCCCCCAAAATTCCCTGAAATATGAAAAGCAAAAATAAAAAGTAGCATTACATCATAATGAAAAGCTTCTGCACAGCAAAGGAAACCATCAACAACCTACCGAATGGGAGAAAATATTTGCAAATCATATATGTGATAAGGGGTCAATATCCAATATATACAAAGAACTCACACAACTCAGTAGCAAAAATAAATAAATAAAACAGCCCAACTGAAAACTGGGCAGAGGGTCTGAATTGACATTTTCCCAAAGACATACAGGTGGGCAACAGGTACACAAGAAAGTTCATCACATTACTAATTGTCAGGGAAATGCAGATCAGAATCATAGGAGACATCACCCCGCACCTGTTAGAATGACTACTATCAAAAAGACAAGATTTGACAAGTGTTGGCAAGGATGTAGGGAAAAGGGAACCCCTATGCCCTATCAGTAGGAATGTAAATTGGTGTAGTCTCTATGGAAAACAGTAAGGAGATTCTTCAGAAAATTTAAGACAGAACTACCATCTGATCCAGAAATTCCACTTCTGGGTATTTCTCTGAAGGAAACAGATACTAACTTGAAAAGACATCTGTGCCTGCATGTTCATTGCAGCATTATTTACAAAAGACAAAAACCGAAAGCACCCTAAGTGTCCATCTGTGGATGAACGGATAAAGAAATTGTGGTGTATATATGTACACACACTAAAAAAAGAAGGAAATCCTGCCATTCGGGACAACATGGGTGGACCCGGAAGGTATTATCCTCAGTAAGATAAGTCCAAGACAAATACCATGTCACCGCACTTACATGTGCAATCTAAAAAAAAAAAAAAAAAAAAAAGTTCATAGATGCAGAGAACAGACCGGTGGTTGGTGGTTGCCAAGGTGAGGGGTGGCAGGCGAGTGAAATGGGTGAAAGGGGTTAAGAGGTACAAACTTCCAGTTATGAAATGTTTATTTCAGTCTTGGAGGGACGCCTGGGTGGCTCAGTTAAGCATCTGACTTCAGCTCAGGTCATGATCTCAGAGTCCTAGGATCAAACCTGGAGTCGGGCTCCATGTGCAGGAGAGAGTCTGCTTCTCCCTCTGCCTCTCTCCCCACTAGTGTTCTTGATCTCTCTCTCAAATAAATAAAATCTTTAAAAAAATAAAGTAAATAAGTCTGGGTATGTACTGTCTAGCATGGGGACTTTAGTTAATAACACTGTATTATGTATGGAAAGTTGTTAAGGGAGTAGATCTTACAAGCTCTCAAGACAAGAAAAAAAATTATAACTATATACTGTAATGGATGTTAACTAGATTCATTGTGGTCATGTAGCAGCACATACAGATGTCAAATCATTATGTTGTACACCTGAAACATATGTAATGTTACATGTCAATTATGTCTCATTAAAAAAAAAAAGACAAGATTCAGAAGGGCAGAGAGTACCTGTAGGAAAAATTGCACACACACGCACACACACACATACACCCCAGCTAACTGTGTGATGTTGGACAAGTTACTAACCCGCTGTGGCTCAGTTTCCCATTTAGAACAAGAGGATAATCATACTCCCCACCTCACCTGGCTGCTGAGAGGATAGATAACCTGTTTGAAGCTTTAGAACAGTGGCAAAGACCCACAGCAAGGATTTGATACATATTAACTCTCATTACCTACTGGTCAAATTACAAGTAAGTTTCATTTTCTTCTCAGCTTTTCTTGA